GTACTGCTTGGGGGGAACCGGCTTTTAAGCTGGCTCCCCCCAGCACCGGCTCCTGTTTCCTCCTCCCCTTGCTGCCTGTGATAGAGGCAGTGAGGGAGTGGGGGGGAGGGAGTAGTCGGGTACTCCACTCGACTACAGGCCATCCTCGCTATAAGTCCAAGATAAGTTGTTTTACTATAAGTTCACGTTTTTTGGAATGTAAAGCAGGGAATTTTTTTCCCACGGCTGGCTTCCATTTGCACAAATTGTTTTTGATTTGTGTGTGTGTGCAAGACTTCAGAGTGGGGAATGGGAGGACTTACAACGCATCAGTTCCTACAAGCATCAATGACTAGTGTGGAACAGATGTATATGAGGGCAATTTATAGTGGGCACATCCAGTACTCACTAACATCCCTAGGCAAAGCAAGGAACATGCTGTTAGAGAACCTTTCAGCGTCAAAAACTAGTGATTTAGGCTTTTTTAACTAGGTTTGTTACAAATGGACTAAAGAATGAATGGTAAGAACAGTTATATGTTCATTTAAGGATATTTGGATATGTGATGTTGACAAGTTGTTTTCAGTGGTTTATGAAATTTTAAATTTAATTAAACCTCCCCATAATTTCATGCCACTGTGGAAACGTAACTAGATAAAAATTGAGGAAAGGTGTTTAAAACATACAACACTATTATCCATGGAAATGATAAAAAAGTAAAAACCAAATTCTGCCAAGCCTATATATAAGTAAGGCATAATCTGGTTCTGGACCTAGATTTAAGCAACTAACTTAAATCCCTTGGAAAGGAAAGAGGTCCTTTGTTACACACAGTCCTTTAAAGAACAGCTTTAACATATTTTGGAAGCCTAGCTATGATCTAGGAAAAGGACGTGTAATGTAGAAAGGGATTTTAACTACTTCAAGTAAGTTATCCGTGGCATGTCAATCTGGTTAACAAAATAAATAAGCAACAGGATTTTAACGGAAATCAAATACACAAACTTACAGAATCTTTGTTTTAATCATTTTCTGCTATAATCCAATTGGTATATTGTATAAGATAAAACATTGCTGCCACCTAGAGGCTCTTGCATATTTTGCTGCATACATTGTGCAGCACTGATATTCAACAACCCAAATCTTTGTTGTACTGCATGTTGCATTAGTCTGTGTTTTACTAAATTTATTTCATTATTGTGAGATTTCAAAGTGGGTCAGTTTGTGGTTCAGTTAGACTGTCACCAAGAACATACTGAATCTAAAGTGAATATGAAGTGCAGCATCACTCCTGATCAGGGTGACCACCCTGAAAGGATTAGGAATGTAAGCGACTAGTTGAATACCTCATAAGCAAATGCTTATCAGGTAGTTCAGTAGGAACTTGACTAGTTGCTTTGTCTCCCTTGCTGCCTCTTAAAAGCCAGTTCCCTCCAGCATTGTCTTGGCAAGAGGCAGGAGGTAGCGGGGAAACGGTGCAAGCGGGGATTGTAACAGTCCCACTTGCACCAGTTCTGTTGCTGTTCCTTTCCCTTTGAAATGTTCAAGAGCCACCTGCGATCCTTGTACATTTCAAAGGAAGAGGCATAGAGGGGAATCCCTGCCAGAGGGCACTGCTTCCGTCCCTGCTGGCATGGGTTCCTGCTGCCTCTCTCCCTTTGAAATATACAAGAACTGTGGGTGGCTCCTGTACATTTCAAAGGGGGAGAGGCAGTGAACTTGCTGTGTCGCTCCCTTTAAAATGCACAGGAGCCGTGGGTAACTCTTGTACATTTCAAAGGGAGAAGCACAGCGGGATAGCAAGCACCCCCCTTATTGACTAATTGAGTAGTCAGAAATTCCATCGACTACTCGATCAGCTGATTAATCAAAATTTAACATCCCTACTGCTAAGTAATCTGCTGATTTGAGACTTTGTGGATTATATAGGTAGACTTCCCAGAGTATTGATGTGGAACAGATACCATACTGCTGGAAATGCCAACTCTTAGATGAAATATAAAGCAGAAATCCTTACTGCTTTCTGTAACTGGAGATGCCACCACTCCAATAATTAATTAATATTGTGGTCAAATTCCAAATATATTTGCATAGTTTGGCTTGGTTCTTTTATGCAGTTTTGGTTTGTTTGCTACCCTAAATAATTTTGTAGTGTTGCTGCACACTGTTAGCTGCTTTTTTCACTGGAGGTCATGTTTCAGTAATGAATTGAATTATTCCTGTATATCCATTGTCTCCCATACAACCGTATTTCAAGGCTTAATATTTACAAAACTCTCTGGGACTCACTGACCCTAGAGAAGAGCAAAATATGCTTGGTAGTCTCCTTTCTGTTAGTTCATTCCTACAGCTATGTTCTTTAGGTGTTTGTTTTTGTGATTTTACACATCTAGCTTACAGTTCTCTCTTGCCCAAGCTAGTAAGTAAGTGTATGTCTAGACTATATGCCTCTGCCGACAGAGGCATGTAAATTAGACTACCCGACATAGTCAATGAAGCAGGAATTTAAATATCCCCTGCTTCATTAAAATAAAAATGGCCATCGCGCTGTCCCGGCTCAGCTGATCGTCGGCACAACGCGGCAGTCAAGACACGGATCGGTTGGCAAGCAAAGCCTTTGCTGACTGATCCTGTAAACCTCGTTTCACGAGGCATAAGGGATCGGTCGGCAAAATATTTCCTCATCAACTGATCCGTGTCTTGACTGCCGCATTGTGCTGACGATCAGCTGAGCTGGCACAGCGCGGTGGCCATTTTTATTTTAATGAAGCGGGGGATATTTAAATCCCTGCTTCATTGACTGTCGGGTAGTCTAATTTACATGCCTCTTTTGGCAGAGGCATGTAGTCTAGACATACCCTAAGTTCTTCAACTTCAACTTTCCTGGATAGCTTAAAATAGATTATATTTTATTAAATGCTAGAAGCTGTACTCAGTGTTACTCATGTCCTTCAGGGCAGTGAGCTTCCAATATGTGGAGGTGCAGAGTTGGGGCAGGGTTTTGGGTATGTGAGGGGCTCAGGGCAGGGTGTGTGTGTGTGTGTGTGTGTGTGTGTGTGTGTGTGTGTAGGAATCAGGGCAGAGGGCTGGCAGGTGTGGGGCTGCTGAAGGGTGAGGGTGGGAGTACAGGAGACAGGGTAAAGGGTGAAGGGCTAAAGCAGGGGATGGGAAGTGGGGGGGGGGCTCAAGGCAGGGAACGCAGGATTCAGGGCAGTGGAGCTCAGGTCAGGGAGCTGAGAAGTTGGGAGGGGGGCTTTCTGGAGCTGCCCATGGTAGCGGGAGATGGTGCTGCTCTGATGGCAGCTTCTCCTTGGTCCCGGGGCTACACTGCCCTGGTGAATCCTTCAAGAGCAGGGCTGCCTGCCCCAGCTGGTGACTCCTCATAGGGTGTGTTGGGAGGAGGGGATTGCACTGCTCAGCCTCCCTGCCTGGCCCTCTAGCAGCTTCTCACGGGGCAAGGGAGGGCCAGTGCTTGCCTGCCTAGACACCCTGTCAGCTACTTATGGGGGGAGGGGTCTGCCTCCCCTCCCCACTGGTGTGGCTCCTCACAGGGTGGGGAGATTGGTGCTGGGATGACTGCCCTTGGGCCAACCAGCAGGAGGTACTAATGGGGGGGGGCAGGGAGCTGGGGCTGGGCTTCCTCCAGCCAGATGGGTAGGAGAGGGCAGGTGCGTCCTTGTTGGGGGGGTGCTGCTGGCCAGCAGGGCCCTCCCATGCATTGCTGTGGCTGGGAGCTGGCAGCCCCACATGGGGGGCCAAATGGTGCTGGAGCAGCCCTCCGCCTGTGGTGGTTATCTTAACTCTTAAATTAAAGCATGGTCATGGTTTGGTAGTGGCAGGAAATGGGATCTACCTGGAATGGGACTGTTTTCCTTAACGCAGAATGGGAGGGAGCTGTTGTGCCCACTGGAGCTACAGCAGCCATGGAGAGGCACTTCTCTCCTGGCCCCAAACTGCTGCTGTGAGAGTGTGCTGGGGGAATCCTCTCTATCCGGGGACGACTTTAACCCTCATTCCCAGGCCCACCCCAGAGAAATGATTTAAATGAAGCAAAAGAAAAACGAATTGAATTAGTGACTTGAGCAACATCAAGTAAATCTTCTGGTAATTTACTTCCCTGGAACGCTTATCTTCCAGAACTCGATTAAAAATTTGAGGGTGTGTTCTTTGGGCACTGAGGTGCTATGTCTTTCCTTTCCATTGGAGGTTTAGCGTCTGGAACCATGCATTTTGCATTGACATTATCATCTTTTCCAGCCTTCCTTCAGACACCTCGTATATGCTTGGTCAATAGAACTTGTGTAGAGCATATGTCTAGAATTCTGGAATGTGGATTCTTTGCTCAAGTTTAGCACAATTGCCCAGTCATGTACAGTGTAACTAAACCTGCTGTGTACATTCATTGCCTTGCATTTTTGCCCCAATGTGCACACAGATACTACCTGCTCAGATACTTTTTTTCATTTAATTCCCTGTGAGATTTACCATAAGGGGCAAGGGAAACAATGGTATATGGGTAGTATGTTTTTGATGGTACAGTATATAGAATTAGTTAATTACTTCTGATTCTGTTTGCTTAAATAGAAATTGAATTGGCTCTCCAGAAAAGAGGATTAATTGATGTATCAGTTGGTGCAGTTCTAGTATTCTGAAGGTTTAGGCAGACTTCACTTTCTTGGTGAACTTCATGAAAGGAAATGACAGGCATATATTGAACTATGGAAGTGTGGCTACCTATGCCAGATAATCTATAATATAAATGCTAATTTAATTATTTTAATAGCTGTCTTTTACTTTTAAATACATGGCTCACATTGTCAAGTAAAACCAATGAAGATTTTGTGTGACCTTTGTAGATACTTACATTGTAACACCATGTATAATTGTCAGAGGGCAAGATTGCATTATTAGAAGGGAAGAGAGCATTGATTTATAAAATACTAATGTTTTCAAAGCTCAGTGCATGCTAAATAAGTTGGACATAATATAAAATACTAATATCCTTGAAACTTTTATTACAGTCAAAGACTAGAAATGAAAGCACAAGTTGTAGGTGCTTTCATAGAAAAATTCCAGCTGACCCCAGATGAAATGAACCTCCTTCGAGGCACAAGAGATGGCCCAATTACTGAGGTAACTAATAATGTATTATAAGTTTTCTACTGAGCTAATACACAACAAATTGATATTTTAATGTTGTATTTCTCCTCCTATTTCAACAGAATTTTTTAAAGTCTCATATTCTTTATTTTTAGTTTAAAATTCTTTCTTGATCATATAAACAGCTGTTCATGATGCTTTCACATCATGTAGTACCACTATTGTGTGTATATATTTTGCTTGGCTACCACAATATAGAAATTGTTTACATTGATTTAAAGTAGGACTTTCCCTCTTTGTTTCATTTATTGTTGTTTGAAATATTAGGTGCTGACTCATTTATTTTTGGTCACCTTCTAAACTAAGCTATTAAATATATTGATATGTTTTTGCTTAAAAAAGCACATTGTTCTATGGCAAAAGCAATTAAAATATCCAGAGTGTATATTTAATAGCTTTTATTATTTTAGTTACATGGAAACTTTCATTGAAATTCAGAATACCTGCTGAGACTCAGTATCTCATTTCCACAGACATCCTGTTAGCAGTCAGAGTATTATTAAGCATGGAGCAGAAAGCAATAAACAATACTAATGAAAGCACAAATGAAAACATGTTAAATGATCATGATCATATGTGTTAAAATACCAAATATTAGAAACATTCGAGTTATGATAGAAAGCAGTAAGTTCAAAATGCAGAATTTTTCATAAAACAGTTTTCACAAATGTTTACTTCTCAAGAGCCTACTAAAACACTGAGTCTTTTATATTGATTTAATTGGATTTTGGATTAGACCCTAACCCGGTGCAGGCGATAATTTTTGCCAGGGGTCACTCCATAAATTTTGGTAAGTGGTCAGGGGCTGTCTCTGTGGCCCTTGAAGGCGTGGGGATAGGAGAAACGGAGAGATAGAGAAGAAGGGACAGGGGACAGTACCTGTGGTTTTGATTGTTACAAGGCTGCTGTGAGATCACATGTGAAAGTGACATTTGCCCAATTGTATATGCCAATTCATCCAAAACTGCTGATTCCTAATATCAAAATAGTTGTCGGTGCAACCACCAGTATAGCATTTTAATATGGTTATTAAGTTTATTTTTATTTAAAAACTGGAAATGCTTTAAATCATGAATTTCATTTTTAAAGGATTTTTTCAAGGCATTAGGAAGAGTAAAGCAAATTCATGATGATGTTAAGATTCTTCTTCGTACAAACCAACAGAGAACAGGGTGAGTTTGATTTGAATAACTGAGTAGTCGTTTAATAGTTAAAACAGTAACTGTATGGAGATGCCCTGTTTGTTCTTTCAGATGATGACAGAAGGTCTGTAAATCTAACAATGTACACATAAATATAACAAGTCTCAGAGAAGTAGCTGTGTTAGTCTATAACTTTAAAAACAATGAACAGTCCTATAGTTCATTTTGAAATATCCTTGTTTTTATAATGCTGACTTTTAAATTATATGCTTCTATGAACATCTAATAACATACTTTTATTTTGTAGCCTAGAAATTATGGAACAGATGGCTTTGCTCCAAGAGACTTCTTATGAACGACTTTACAGATGGGTTCAAAGTAGGGTTACACTTTTTTTGTTTTTGTTTTTATGATTTAAATTTAGTTATTTTTAAATAACACCATCTTACTGTCTAAATAGCAGAGGTTTATCTGATATTGTATTGCTTTTTTATAGGTGAATGTAGGACTTTGACACAAGAATCATGTGACATTTCTCCAGTTCTTACCAAAGCCATGGAAGCCCTGCAGGAGAGACCTGTTTTGTATAAGTAAGTAAACATTTGTGATCATTTCTAACACATGAAAGGTTATCTTTTCTTCTATTAGTAAATAGATCCATTCCAAGTCTGTAACACAGGTACATCATACCTGTAAAAACAATGGTAACAAACATCATGATTATTAGTCTGACATCAACATTGAAGAAAAGCATGGTTTAGTATCTCTAAACTTCCTGTATCTTGTTTGTGTAATCACTGTACAAGAATTCTCACTACTGGTCTTCTGCAAATGGTTTTATTTCCAATAAAATGTTCAAATGTTTATTTCAAATAAAATAAAATGTTATTTTTTTCCAGTTATACTTTCATCCAATTAAATTGTGAGTGTGTGCTCTCATTTAAGAGTTGTTTTTGTTTGTTTTATTTGGTTTAGTGGGGCTAGTATAGGTTTCAAGTTATCCAGTTACCCCATTTATTTATGGAAAATAAAAATTTGCCAAATCATACTAAATTTTATCAAGAGTCTATCAATACTGATAGTAGTTTCTATTATGCAAAATATAATAGTCTATTAAAAGCATTGTATTAACTATATGCTTTTTTCATATAAAGAAGACACTTGAAGATGTTAGGTCTTCTTGTTCAGTGCATTACTTTAAAAAAGTTGAAGTAAAACTAGTGTGTGTGGTTTAAAATGGAGATCATCTGAATTTCCTGAATTATTAGCAACTCCCAATCAAGGCCTCAGCCAGGATTTACAGGATTTGATTCAAAGTGCACAAGTACATTTCTTTACTGGTATTAATGGGGATCAAGGTGAATTGTGTGTTCTCCCCCAGATTTCCATCTTTCTCATATAACCTTCTCTGCTGGTCTATGCTCAACATTTCTCACCAACACAGAAGTTAATTCCATGCTTTTTCTAACTTTTGAATGCTTTAACTTTCTACCTTTAAAACTTTTAAAATATAAATGTTTGTTGTATAAAGGAAGAACTTTCTATTGACAACTGTAGACTCTATTATGTTCAACTTTTCCATTGTCATCAAGAAAACTTCATTTGTTCATTTCCTGCCCTACCGTAAATGGACTGGGCAAGCTATAATAACTTTATCTTTTATAGTGAATGATTAATTTATCAGAATTTTCTAACAGGACTTTTTAATCTAAATCCAGTTTGCTGATGACAAAAGTATTGACCACAAGGTGGCACTATCAGAGCTGTCTTTGTTTTTTCTTGGGCTGTTCATGTTCCCATGTTATGCTTTGTACTGCATTCAGCCAGGGTAGAGCAAAATAATTGTGTATCAAATTTTAAGCACACAATTAGTCACTCACTTTGACTTCAATATGACTACTTAAGTGCTGAAAGTTAGGTAGGGGCTTTTGTGCTTTGCTGAATTAAGGCCTTTGTGAGCAATATTGTGTGGCAGACCTAAAAAAAAAAATCACGCTTAATATCAAACACTTGAAATAACATCAGACATTCATTATCTTATACCAACTATTGTATTACTATGTTGTGACCTAAATGCAGTGTTAATTTTCAGTAATTATATGTAGATGTAGTTTGAAATGAAAGTAATTTTAAATAGAAATAAAAATTATTTCCGTCTCCTTTTAGCCCCCCAAAAGAGAATAATTTGTTTGGCGGTTAACAGATGCTTTACCATGCTAATTCCCTGTCATTTTAGTAGCACTTCTGCAGTATTTGCTGAATGGCAAGCCTGACTGGGACTATGTCAGCCTGGGAGGCAGTGGGACCGCAGTAAGCTGGGTGGCAGCAGTGGGGGCGCAGCAGCCTGGGCAGCGGTAGTGGCAGTGTGATTGGGGCTGCCTGCTGCCCAGCAGCAGGGCCAGGGCTATGGCTGCAGCAGCTCAGGAGGGGAAGCCAGCTGGGGTCGTGGCAGCCCGGCAGAAGTAGTGTAGACAGGGCCACGTGCTGTCCAGCAGTGGGGCTGGAGCTGCGGTAGCAGCAGCCAGATTGAGTGGTGTGCCACCTGGCAGTGGAACTGGGGCTGGCCAGCAGGCAGCTTAGCTGGGCTGAAGGAGTCAGCAGCTGGCTATGGGGCTGGTGTCAGGGACCTCCAGTTGTCTGGCAAATTCCCCTCACCCGAGACTGGTCTTGTCCTGAAGGTGCCAGACCAGGAAGGGTCAACCTGTACAAAGAACACAGTGTTGTATTTAAATGGTCCTACTTCAAAACCTTAGAAAAAGCAGTGATATGTTATTAACCTTTAGAGAAAGTTTCTGATCTTTGGTAATCCAGTACTACTGTCTGTGGGAAAGATATTTCAGATATCCTCTGAAGGTTCTGTATGGTCAAGTCAGATGTCTGATTTTGCTGTAAAATGTAGCAAATGAAAGAAATGGTTTCCTATAAATAAAAAGGTAAACACTTTCAAAACACCAATAGGGTGTTTTCATTAAATCTCAAAGAATAAATACTAATGCTTGCTTCAACTAAGAATTTCTAGATCTCTTCTAGAGACAATAGTAGGCTTACACAAAAAAGAAAAGAGGTGGTAGTTTGTGATATAATTTACTGGCTATAAAGCTTCTACCTAACTAGGAATAACATTTTAATTTATGTTCAGCTTTTTTGAGTGAGATAGCTCAACCTGTTGTAAAGACTATAACAAGTTTTCCTACAGATTAAGCAGTACATGAAGCTTGATCTGGCTAGTTGGGAAAGGGAGAGGAGGATTGAAAGTTGATTAAGCAGGATTTTACATCCGTAAGAGGGATCCCAGCCTGGCTTCTGTTCCCAGACCCATGTGGGGCTACCAACTCTTGGCCCCATGCAGGGGCCTGGTGGGGCTGGAGCAGCCCTCCTCCTGCAGCAGCCATGGCCAAGGTAGGGGAGGGGCTATTTCTGGGCACCAGTTAATTGTTACCTGGTAAGCATCACCCGTTCACTGGTTATCCGTTCACATCCTTAACTGCAAGTCAAGCTGGTAGTGCTGTGGAATGCAGTAGTCCAAGATACCACAACTGATCTGCAGCTAATCATCTGTACTGCTAATCAAATCACTGTGTAACTTGAGTATGGTTTTGAGTTAGACTGGCTCAAGTGTGTGCTAACTTGAGCTAAGTGTGCTTTTAAATAGGTAGGAAATTATTATAGCATTTTATTTAAATGTGCTTCAAGAGTAGCAATAATGTCTGTCATTATTGTAGTATTTTATGCCACAAAGGTTGCAATGAAAAAATGTGTTCAAATTAGTTGTAAAATCAATGTATTCTGGAAACATCAGTATTTTAGATATTTCATTTCTTGTGCGTGTTCATTATATTTTAAATTTGAGAAGTACTTAAACATTTTACACCTTTTATTTTATTTTTGATTAATTGGGAGGCCAGTGAGATGGCAAACAAAGGAGAAAATGTACATAAATTGATACTATGTTATGGTGATTTCAATTGAAGGGTATATTTTTTACTCTTTTTTTTTTTTTCATTTAAAACAAACAAAACCCCCACAGCCATTCTTGTAAATAACCTAGTAGTGGAACCAACACTTCAAAAGTGTTCAAAGCTGGTATTGTCCTCCTTGATGAGATTTTCAAAGATTTAAACACTGCTGTCGTGCAAACTGAAAACAGCTGTGTTTATAGAAAACTTGTCCTTACATTTTAATATAGATTCTTCCTCAGACAAACAGCAGTTGGGAAAATCAGTAAGAGGCAACAATAGAAAACATCTTCAATTTTGCTTTTAATGTTTTGGGGTTTGCTAACTAAGTTTAATAAAATGTAATAGCACTACTGACCTACAATTCACTTCCTGGAATTGCAGTCTGTCCAGAGCAACTGAAATAAATGCTTCATCTGGATCTTCACTTCCTCCCCCCAACTAGAATAAAAACAAATTTGAAAAGCGTGGTTTTGTAGATGACTCATGAGCAGCCACAGCAAGATGAGACATTTCCCTGCTGATTTGTTTTAAGGTTTTCTCCACCTTGTTCCCTCCCCCATCTGTAATTATAGCTCCACTGGGAATTTGGCCTATTGTTGGAGGAGAAGCTAAAAGAATCCAAATACTATTTTCCTTTTCCATAATGAATACTTATTATAAAGCTGTAGTAAAGACTCCATTTAGAGTGCAGATAATAATTATTGCTGAATTTTTATACAATACAGAATTATGTTATAATTATATTGTATTCTATTGAAGGGAAAAGAGGGAACATTTATTTTCTGTTTCCCCTTGCAAACATAATTGTCAGTGTGATGTTACAGTTCCCAAAACCAATGTGAACAAAATTAAAAGACCTTATCAATTGCCATATCTCTAATACTTCATGATTTTATTGCTTGGAAAAAAGAATCAATTTGGGTCATGAAAACACCTCTGGCCTTGTGCTATTTTTTTTTCAAGAGAGGGCACCACTGTCCCTGTTTTGTGGGCAATACTCTTTCGAGTACCAACATTCATTTAAAAATACAGCTTTCACTTGATTCATCAAGCAGAAACATGGGTTTTGTTTTTTAACAATGGCTGGCAAACAGACTTAATTTTGAGGTAAAAATACAATGGATTATGCAAACATTTAAGTACAGGTTGAATCTCTCTGGTCTAGCATGACTTTAGTTTACTTGATATCCACTTATCATGGGTGTGGACAAGTTCTTCTTGTGGTGATGTCCCTTTGTGTGCTCCAGTCTTGGTGACGGGTCATCCCTGGAGCTGCAGTTTGGAGCTTTTCTTAGCAGTTGTCAGTCGGGCCACACATGCACTGAAGGAGGTTTGCCAACTTGCATGCATGGCCCAATTTCTCCTCTCTCCCCACTCCTCCCTCTCACTACAGTTCCTTGCTAACCACCCTTGGTTGCAGATCGAGCTCCTCTCTCACCTCAAGCATTCACTCTCTTCAAACAGGAGAGAAGAAACAAACAGAAGACGACAAAAACAACAACAAAAAAGAACCACACTACTACAATGCCGGGTTCTCAGGGCTTTAAGAAGTACTGCCAGTGTAATGACCCCAAGCTTGCCTTGGATGGGGATGATGGTCTGTATATGCTCTTTGTGGGAGTCGCATGCCC